TAACACGTTCCAAAGTCTAGCCCAAGTGGCCATGGTTTGGCCGGGATCAAGGCTGTGGGTGAGTAACTCGATGGGCGCTTTGTGGGGTGATTGTCCATAAACACCATCGGTCCTGTTGATAAATTCAGCAGACAGTGCTGTAAATTTGGTAAGCTGGCTGACAGTGAGGGTACTGAGCGTATCGGGGTAAGACTTGGCAAGTTTTTTGACGAGGTCTACGACTAGCATAGTGATATATTGGCGAGCGCAAGGTATGACAATAATAGGGATTTATTGAGGGAATTGAGCAGGAGGTGTTCAGGAGGTGTTGAAGATACTAAAGTTACGCAGAATCAAGCCTCTGAGCAGCGCTCGGATGGTTTTGGCGGCGGCTAAAATCTCAGCTACAACATTCATTGGGGAAATGGAAGTCATCTTTTTCAATTCCATGTATGTATATACATATGCGGTTCGTTGGATTGCGTCAATCCTTTCAGCAGGGCATTGATAGTTTGGGCACGGTGTTGCCTTTCTTTTCAAACTCACATAATACGTTTGCAAACTGCAATAGTAGTGCAATTGACATGGGGCAAAGTTTTATTTTGAACGAGAACGCTGGAGGAGACATGCAGAACTGCCTGGAGGCATGCGCATGCTCGCTAGATTGGGACATCTCGATTGGGATATGTTCGATAGTTTTCTTTTCCAGAAGAGGCCGTTGTCAAGTCACCTACTTTGGGACGTGTGAAACTACTGTCATCCGTAAAGGTATCTGTATTTCGCAGATGTGTGAAATTGGCTTGACTCGACTTGGCTCGGAAATTCGGCTCGTAAATTTCGTTGCGCTGCCAATATTCTGAATCTTAGAAGCAGCCAACAACCAAGGAAAGAAAGTCAAGACTAACATCAACAAATACAAGAGCTGGTGGGACAAAGATGTCCTGAATCCGATCCTCAAAAACCGTAACCGTGCCAGAAAATGGTGGCTCAGGTCCAACTCACCCGAAGCTCGAAAATGCTACGATGAATGGCAGACCTTCTTCAAGGAGCAGGTGATGCGTACGAAATCAAATCACTGGAAAAAATACTTAGCATCCTGCTCAGGAAACGACTCCCTTTAAAGCCTTCAAATTTGTCAAAACGAAAGCCACAGGTGAAGTAGCCCCACTCAAGAAAGAAGATGGGTCCATCGCCACGACAAAAGAAGAACAGGCCAAATTACTCTATTATGGCACATCAGTAGCCCATATCGACGCAGACCTCTCGGACTTGACCCAAGCTAGGAATCCCCCGATTCAGAACCCTCCCTTTGAATTCCCTACAATCACATTAGACGAATTAAACAGGGTGATCGACTCACTTCCAAACCAAAAGGCCAAAGGAGGAGACCAGATCTCGAACGAAATTATCAAATTAGCTAGCCCAGCGATTACAGACGAATTGATCAAGATTTTTAACGCCTGCTTCAGACTAGGATATTTTCCCAACGCGTGGCGATCAGCAGTCACAATCATTATCAGGAAGAGCGGCAAAGACACGTATTCAGAGCCTAACTCATACCGACCGATAGCTCTCTTAAGCTGTCTGGGTAAAATCTTAGAAAAGATCGTCACGAACCGAATTACTCACTGGACCAAAACACATCAGAAACTAGCTCAAGGTCATATGGGTGGAAGAAGACAATGTTCAACCGATGATGCCTTAATAATCCTCACCTCATGGATTAAGGAAAAATGGCGAAAGGATGAAGTGGTAACAGCCCTCTTCCTAGACGTGAAATCGGCGTATCCCTCTGTACACCGTGAAAGACTCATGAACACTCTCCTTGTCCAGAACTACCCGAGGTACCTGATTCAACAAATCCATGGCTTCCTTACAGAAAGAACAACAAACCTTAGGTTACAAGATTTCACCTCAGACAAATTCAATATTGATAATGGCCTCCCCCAAGGATCTCCTCTTTCAGTCATTCTCTACATCATCTACAACTCATCTCTACTAAGCTCAACTCCATTGTCACCGAGAGCGAACAACCTATCCATTGGATTTATAGATGACGTGGTTCACGTTGTCTCATCGAAGTCCTTTGAAACTAATATGTCTAAATTACAGGATCAAGCAAACAAATCACTAAGATGGGCCAACACTCACGGGGCCATCTTCGATAGGAAAAAAGCTCAGCTCATCCACTTCACCAACAAAAGGATAAAATCCTTCCCGGAGTTCTCTTTTGGCGACACTCGACTAAAACCCAAAAAGTGAAGTTAAGTGGCTTGGAGTCTGGTTTGACACCAAACTCCTATTCAACCATCACCTTCAACAAATGAAAAAGATAGGCGAATTTACAATTGGCCAACTACAACGGCTCAACAAATGCTATTCAGGCCTATCGCCTAAAGAAGTCAAGAAACTAACACTAGCAATTCTACTACCGCGCATATTATACGGAAGTATAGTTTGGTGCACGGAAAAGAACCTTAACAAAGCTGATAAGATCCTCTCCCAATTACAGAACTCAGCAAATAGAATCATCCTAGGAGCATTCAAAGGAACGTCAACCGACATGCTCACCCATGACGCGTACATGACCCCATTCACGCTGATAGCAGCCAGGCGACACCATAAATTCCTTCTCAAACGACTTACAGCACCACAAGACCACCCGACAAACATCTTCATCCAACATGAACTAAAGCTACAAACGAAAACGCACAAAGGACCAATCCAAGATGTAGTACGAAGTCAAGATCTCAAACTGCTAATGGAAGAGGAGATGGAGACAATCCACGCTCATTCTTTCCCCCCATGGACAACTAATCTGGGCCAAGTCATTAACCTAGACAAATCCAAAGATGAAGCGACAGAATTAATTCCAAAACAAGTAGAAGACGAAGCAAATAAGAAGGCACTCATCATATTTACAGATGGTTCAGTGAGTGAAGAAGGAGGAGGTGCCTCAGCGGTAACGGAAACGACGAATAAAACAGTATCAATCAACTTTCAACACAACTTCTCAAATCACGAGGCTGAGCTCATGGGGATTTTCCAAGCAACCGAACTAGCTAACGAACTCTTCAGACGGAACAGACCACCACTGAAAGAACTTGCAATATTCAGTGATAATCAAGGAGTGTTGAGACTAATCCACGAAGCGCCTAGACAAACATCAGGCCAACATCTAATCATTAAAATACAAACTAACATCCGCAGACTCCCCACTGACGCAAAAATTAGACTTTACTGGACTCCAGGTCATACAGGTATAGAACTTAACAAAAAAGCAGATGAATTAGCAAAAGGTGCAGCAAACAACAACCCGAACGCAATAACGATCCCCACAAGTTTAGGAAGTTTGAAGGAAAGAACTAACGAAAACTTTAACATCAAAGATTTAGTATTTAAACCAGGTAAAAATCCTTTTAAGACAGACCCTAAAGATATCTCATTAAGTTTACAAGGAATGGAGAAAGGTGGGGCGGCTGCGATCTTCCAGCTTAGAGCCAAATATAGCCCTTTGAATGAACACTTGTTCAAACGTAACCTAGTTGACTCACCTCTGTGCCCACATTGTGGGCTGAAAGAGAACACTGAACATTTTCTTTTGTATTGTAGGAAACACTCAAAAGCCCGGAAAAAATTCAGAACTCGCCTCCGAAAGGAAGAGATCAAGGTCAACTGGAACAATGCCAAGAAATTACTAGATACTCCAAAAGGCTTCCCCGCTTTAGCAGACTTCATTCTCCAAACTAAAAGATTTATGCATTTTCATTCTTATACACAGGACAATACCCTAAAGAGGGCGACCACGAAACAGGTTTACGAAGTGACGGAAGAAAGACGATAACTTTGAGGGTCCACCCATTACGTTATACGATCGCTGTTCAATCCCTCACGGGTTCGTTGACCTCCAAGATACGTCTTGGATACATAGGGCTTCGAGACAACGCATCTTCTAGTCCCAGGACTTTAAAAATAACCGTTACATACAGAAATCTGTTCAATCCCTTGAGGGTTCACCAGCCCCCAAGTACCGTCTTGGAACCATGGGCTGGTGAGACATTTTTCAAATTAGTCGCAGTGGACTCTAAAACACAAGCATACGTACAGATTATGTTCAATCCCTATAAGGGTTCGACGACCTCCTGGGTTCACCCAGGGAAACAGGCGTTCGAGACATATATCAAAAAGGTTAACCATTCTAGCTCTAAACACCAACTTGGACTGTTTCCTATACGGAGAACGCAAGAAGTTTCTTGAGTCTAATGACTCCAGCATCCTTAACACGATGATGGGGGTCCATCGCTTTCCTGCGGGTGGGCTAAAAGCCTAAAGATGGATTTTAAAAAAAAAAAAAAAACGTATAAAGGGAATCAAAAGCTCAAAGCTTGGACTTTTCAAAAGTTATTGTACTATCTTAATGTCACAGAGTAGAACTGATTTTGATTAGATGGCCGCTTTTCCTCTAAGGTGTACTAGTCTATTTTACAGTTAATTTGTTCTGATAGTGTTATAAAAAAACATGTCGGGAATCCAATGGCTCCGTCTCATGCTTCTGACGGGAGAAGTCGGGTTTGGGGACTTGAGCATGTGGCCGGGCCGGTTGTGGTCACGCCTGTCACGCCGCAGTCAGCACAACATAGCACAACATCCTGTATATTCCGATGTATTCCGATCCACCACCGAGATTTTGCAAAGTTTATGTTTCCTGTATATTCCGATGTATTCCGATCCACCACCGAGATTTTGCAAAGTTTATGTTGCACACACTCCCGCAAAAACCTTAATCATCCAAGATCTTCAAAGATTTACAAGATTTACAGCAATTACTTTGGATATTCAAGCACTATAACCGCTATAACCGCTATCTTAAGACTGCATACCTTACATATACAACCATGCCATCACTTGATCAAATCACTGCCGATATTATCCGCTTAACGGAAAACTCGGCCATCATCCAAGTAGCAACTACCTCCGACGAAATTTACAAGACATTCACAGAGGCCCCATATCTTCCTCCTATGTATGAAGAAGAGGGTATGTGGTACGTAGCTAATAGTAAGCTAGATGCGGTGTTTGGTCTTCGTGATGGATCCCTCAATATTCGAAAAGGTCCTTATGGACTTAAACTTGTGGTGAACTGGCTCAGCAAAGCTCGCAAGCACGAGATGTGGGACTCGGACGAGGACAAGGCTAGAAGACTCGTCAAGCCGCCCGGATGGGATTCAGCTTCTGATAACTTGGTCAAGATCAAGATGGAGAATATCCTCTTGCATGTTAAAGGTATGTTTTTGTTTTGAATTTCCTCTTGCATGTTTCAGGTACGTTTTTGTTTCAAGTTTGAAATATAAGCTGATTTCGAATTCTTTAATCCTCAGAGTTGATTACTGAGGAAGAATTGGAGTGTCAACCACCCAATTTACCCGATTCTGGTGGACCGGCTGGTCCTGCAGTTCCACTTCCGGATGGATCCAAAGGAAAGAAACGTTGAGTTGTTTCTAACCCTGATGTGGATCCAAATGCCTCTGTCAGCCAGCTTGTAAAGCCTACCGCCAAACGAAATCAACCCATCGTGATTAATCTAATTACCTCAGATGACGAGGATCCTAAAGAAGCCGATTTATCACCTGCTTTAATATCCAAGAAGCCGCCAGTCGAAGTCAAATCCAGCACCAAACGAGAGTATATTGCCTCAGTCGCCGACTTGCTTAAGCTATGTCCTTTGTCAACACCTATCAAGCCCTGTGACCGATGCAATGTTGAAGAACTCATCAGAAGGAAAGAGTTTCAGTGTCATTGTGGAGCACAGAAGAAAATCTTACATGGAGGACGAACCGAGGCAGCACAAGAGCACTGGAAAACTGGTGAGTCTTGATTTGTCTTGATTAAGAAACTAGTCCCAATCAAATTTTCTTACACCCTTGATACAAACAGCTCGGTGTGTGAAGAAGACTGCTGATATTCGATCAAGTCAAGTCCTCACGAGCTTCTTTTCGTCCACACCTGTGGACCCAGTTGCTGTCCCGCGTTTGAAACGAGGCTATATCGAGGTTGCATGTCCTGGTTTAAAAGATGAGACTTGGGATCGCCCACGAGCAACAAAGACCATCGAACAGTTTTTAGAAAATACGTGCTCAATTTATCGTGGTAGTGTTCGGCACAAGGTTGTTAAGGAACTGTTTGGCGAAAACACAACTGAATCATCCTTATCGAAAGTCAAGAAGGCCAAGCTTCTAGATACCTTGGATGCACGTGCTATATGGCTAGTTAAACGACATGGCTCTCGTAACGCTATCTACTCACCAAAGTGCCTCAAAACTTTAGTCCGCAGAACCACCGATCCGAACACAGCTTGCTCAAAGTGTTGTACACTTAAAGATTTAAGCAGCTTAACCAGTGCAGTCAATCACGATTACGCTGGAACTGAAACTCTCAAGTACACCAATAACACACTTATGTTACTTGATGCGTATAATGCGAAACTGGTACAGTTTAGTGACCTTCGGACTTGTAAAAAGTCACTTGAATTGTCACAAGGTGGAGACTTTAGCGCTTACTTATCTCATGTAGCTATCTTGGCGAAAAACGGACTCTTCAAGAATCGCGATGCTGTTAAAGGCTTGATCATGGGCGTCACTGTGCGAGCGGAGCGTGAAGACGCCGGCAAATCTCTTCGAGGCATGCGAGTGGATCCTTATCTTGACGACTGTCTAACCACCCTTGGTGCGATGAACCGTTCTGCTCTCAACCTATTCACTAAAACTTTTGCCGGTCGAACTGCACGAAGTCAGCGTCAAATTCAAGCTCGAGACGGTGGAAAAATGGAGTCTGGAATCCATCTTTCCAACTTCAAACGCATTGCTGCGAATCTAGCAGCCTTGGGATACTCGGGACCCATTGCAGCGGCTTCGGATCAGACAGTATGTGTCAAAACCCTTCGACACCACAACGGGTCTTTGGTAGGTGCTCAGGGTCCAGATGTCCCTTTTGAAGATGCAAAGGAACTCCGCGACCTTGTGGAGAAAATAGTTAGTGAGGACCGATTATGTTTGCAGGTAAGCCTATCACTCAACTCTACATTTTTCTCATAGCTATAAAGATTGATTTAGATACTGATGTTTTTGACTTAGTTACGTGCATATACCATTCAGGTACCACTCCCAAACGTCCCTACATATGTAGTCGCCTTGTTATCTAGTCGTACGAATGAAGGAGCCACCGACATTGCATCAGAACACGAGGAGGTCATCACACTTGCTCATGAGGTTGGTATCAACATCCTTTCAATGGGCGCCGACGGCGCTGCCACTGAGCTTTCTGCACAAGAAAAGCTAGTTGAAAAGTCGACTCAATTTCATACGTATACAAATGCAACTCTCAATGTTTATATCAAGATTCCGCTTTTCGGAGAACCGCCTCGCCCAATCATATGTATTCAAGACCCCAAACATGCGCGAAAGACCGGTGCCAACCAGTTACTTTCAGGTGCTCACTTATTGGTCATTGGAAATTACACCGTTACAATTCAGCAGCTTGCCGAGATACTTAAAATGCCGAACTCTCCTCTTCACGCCAAAGACGTTTTTGATTCGGACAAACAGGACGATGGGCGTGCACTGCGAACTTTTTGTGCTCCAACTCTAGCCGCTGCAATCACTCTTGAAAACAACACCGGTTTAACCATATATCTTTATGTCGTCGGCGAGTTGGTTGATTCGTGGCTGAACAAGAAGATCCGACACCATGAGCGTATACGATCTGCGTGGACGGCAGGCTTCTTTATGCGACGCTGGAAAGCGTACCTTCAAAAGCGCGAAAAAGAAACCAACGGTCTCATGAGTTTCCATCAGAATTGCATCTCACATGCAGGATTCAAGATCTTTTCAACTCTTCCTAAGTCACTTCTGGCGTTAATCATAGCTCATCGTGATTACTATTCTGGATTTCCTCTCTTCCCTTGGAAACACGGAACTGAACCTTGCGAGCATATATTTGGTTGGATGCGAGTCATATCACCACGTTTCTCAGTCCTTGATGCTCGTTTTATGATGCCGAAAATCCATGCGGTGGTTAAGAGCGCTATGAGTGGTAGAATCAAGATCCCACCTTCTGAGCACTTGCACTCTGGATACCAATATGCGTTTGGTGATGAAGAAGATGCTGAGAACTTCCGCCTTCTCCAAACTTGGCCGACAAATTCCGAAATCGCACATGAACTCACTATTGCCAACCAAATTGCTAACAGCTTGGCCGAGTTAGCTGGCATGGGTCCTGTAGATCCAGACGATGAAGAGCTGGAGGTTGATCGTGTGCTTGAGGAACTCGAATTACCTATTGAGGATGAAACTCCGGGTATGTACACTTTTAAACGTTACTTTAAACTTTCTATCTTGTTTAATTGCTTTATTTCTGATTAATGTCTTCTTTTAGATGTATCGGTTTGTTCAACAAAGGATTATTGTGTCAAATATAGCGCCGAGTCTGGAGACTGGCCTGAGGAGCTTGCTTTTTCCGAAGCTGCTTTGTTAGCGAAAGATCAAAACGCCCTTGACCTCTTACTCAATCAAGTACCCGATGAGGTTGACTCTGATGCCATCAAAAATGCGGCGATTTCCATTGCCAGTTTGCTTAATCCAAGTGGTAAGTAAAATCTTGATTACGCTTTGTAATTGATTATATAAAACTTACAAATGTTATCTTTTCAAGGTCCACCCCCACACTCAGCTAAGTATATGGCCAACCACGATCGCTGGGTGTTGGTTGAAGATGGGGAGCTCTGTGGCCCCAATCTAATTCACATCCGCACAATGCATGATAGTCAGCTTGCTCGCCATAGAGGAAACGAGCGACTCCTCATCAAACCCGATGACCTAGGACCAAACTTTGACACAACTAAAACGGGTGATATGAATCCGAGTGAGTGTTCCAAGGCGATTGCGGTGTATATGAAGACTCTGGTCAGCACACCAACTGGTGCTGCACGCAGACATCGCTGGAATATTCAAATCAAATTAAATTTGGCTGGTGCTATAACAAACACTTCACATCATCGATCAATTGACCTACAACAGCTCTTTGACGGAGGTTTCATTACGGCTGAAAACCCCATCGAGCCTGGAAAATTCGTCTTAGCGATTAAAAATCAAGTAAGTGTTTTTTTATGTTCAGCTATTTATTGGATTTAGGTGCTGATCACGTTTGTCTCTTTTCAAGACAATGCTTCTCTGTCGGACCGTGATTGTATATGAATATATTTCCAAGAAGCACGCTTTTGTGACTAGTTCAGCTTCCAGGAAAAAACTTTCACATGTAGGTGTCCAAGTTTTGACTTATAAACCAAATTTGCCAGTTGCGATGGCCACCTCCGAATCGTCGCCATTCTGGACTTTCAGTCTCCTCGACGCAGGTGATATCATCTATGTATTCAAGCCATCAGATGGCTCCAACTTCGCACTGGTAGCCGATGGATGCTATTCAGTTCCGTCAGTTATCAAAGACATGTTTCAGTCAATCAAAATGGACCTTTTGATCAATCGATACTCTGAGGAGCGGCGACGTCAATTAGCCAATGCTCACGAACATGATGATGAAGCTTAATTTTTTTCTTCTTCATTCAAGTTCACTAAGATTTGTTCTTACATACATTCAATTATATTCAAGTCTTGAAATTAGATACATGATTCATTCTGCGCTGTCTATAAAATGTTTGTCCTGAAAGTCTCTCAACTGATCATCGATGCGGCTGAGCCTGGCTGAGCTGCACAGGTCTGGCCCAAAAGCCCCGGGTCTTCGGGGCTTCTTGACGGGTCCGGGGCTTTTTGACGGGTCCGGGGCTTTTAGGCTTCTGACGAAAAATGTCAGGTTTTGATAAAAAAAAAAGTCACCATTAGGCTTCTGACGAAAAATGTCAGGTTTTGATAAAAAAAAAAGTCACCATGGTAATGTCGGGTTTTTCGTCAGACGCCTCAGCAGGAGCTTTCCAGGGTCCTCCCCTCTCACCCAGAAAAAGAAAATTGAAACTTACCCAGTGTCCCACCCCACATTGGTGCTACCTGACTGTGTGTCAAAATTTAAGATCTCCCTAATTGCCCTTCAGCCAAGCACAACATTGAAACCTCAATGGTTTTTTTGATGAGGATTAGTATAGGAGTCAAATACTGAGTGTTGATAGAGAAAACATATGAGGACTTTCACATAAGCTTTGAAGAACCACTCCAGGTGTGCAGTGAACATGATTAACTGGCTTGTAATGACATCCAGTATAAGCCTCTAAGCATTCTTGAAAGCGCTGAGCACACAATTGTGTCCTATTTTGCAATAACATATCAAGATCAGCACAAAAATGTATATACCACCAATTTAGCATATACACCATTATTTGAGGCCTTGAATTTGCAGGGAATTCATGACTAGTTTTCTTTCTCTATTCAACACTTCATAATGTGGCTAGAACTTTTTCCAGGGAACTTACCAGCAAAGTTTCACTTGTTCCTGCTGTCAATGTGGTTTGCCTTCAGGCATAAATTCCACCATGGCTGTCTTACAGTCATATATATACAACCAGTGTGTCTAGGTCTACACTGATCAGGCTTGAGAGTCTGAACAACCTAGGACTTCACAATGTTTGAAAAGTACATTTCAACAAGTGTTTATATCCTCAGTACATACTTCAGTAAAGGTATTGGAGATCTCACATTCAACCATGCTTAGATTCTATGAAAAAAATGAAAAACAAGAAGCTTCCCAACAATCCTCCTGGTTTTGATGTTTCTGGTTGGGTGGAATTGGCTAAAGCCTTATATAGGCTCTGAGCATTCCACATTGAATGTCGTAAATCTTACGCTGGTTTTTGCAGCACAAGTTGATAGCAACGGGATTGGTTTGATATCTTTAGTCAATTCTGCTTTAGATATAATGGATATAACTTTACAAGTGACAATCCTGCGACATTGGTTCAGCGACATAATTGATATTAAAGACATTGAAGACACTCGAGAAGGAAGAAATATGAACGGTGACATAAACAATAAATTTTACTTACAAACTTTTGAGCATAGGAGACAGCAAGCAGTAGAGTAGTGATGAAATTGAAGATAGAATAATACATGTGATTTTGGTGATTATACCCGCCTGATTGAAAGAGAAAGTATATTACAATCCCAATATCCATCTACTCATCAGTGTTACCTCAAACATCTAGGTCCGTTGGATCGACAGGGCTTAAGTGCAAAGGCCGAGGCGAATTCGGATGCTGATTGAAGTCCCAGACCTTCGACATGACGATGTCCAACATTGGTTGCCGACAATTTCCCATCCCCATTACGTCCCTTGCCCAAATCAATCCCATTGGCATCCACTTCACCGTTTGCAAGTTGACGATCCCATTCACGTTCCATTGGACTGGAGTTATGAGTACAGCCCGACAAACGTAGCTCGTCATCAGAACCATCGGAACCACGGCTATGACCCTGGAGTATTGGGTGGTGGCGGCAGGGAACAGGAGCCGTAAGAGTAGGCTCCTGAGGACAAGCAACGGCGGCACTCGCGAGTGAATTTGCTCGTACTCGAGCCGCAGCTTCTGTCTCCGGTCGACGCATCGGTCCACTCAAGCCAGCCCGTCTTCGTTCGCGCTCAATGTCAGCTTGAAGGCTCGCAATCCGAGTGGAAAGTGAACGCTCGAGGGCAGCACGTTGAGTCGGTGTTCTGGCGGGCGTGTCGGCCGGAGCCGGAGAGGGAATCAGCGACGCCAAGGAAAGCCGAGCTCGTTCGTCATGTAGTCGAATCTAAGACCAAGCCAAAAAGTCCATTGAGCTACCTTGCCATGGTCAAAGTACTATGCATGAGAGCATGACTGAGTTATCACTCAACTTGCTCTCTCAGTAAACTGATCGTCCGCTCAGCCGCCCTCAAAGTTTCACGCTGAACGTCCATCAACTTTTGTCAACCAGAAGCCACGTGCCCAATGAATCAGAATCCCAAACATGAATGTGGTCAGCTTACGATGTAGTGAAACACACAACATGAACAGAGCCGTATGAAAGGGAAAATCTAGGGGATTCACATTACGTTGAGCTTCCCGTTCTCTTCGACGAGCATCGGCTGCGAGTTCGAGGTGTGCATCTCTCTCTCTTCGACGAGCCTCGACAGCACGTTCAAAGGCCTCCAGAGGACGTAGCCGACGTTGATCATCCTGAGAGCGAGCCATACGTTCGGCAAGAAGAGATCTCCAGACTTGAGAGGAGGCTGGGTGATCGTCGATTGGGTCAGGCTGATTTGAACGAAGGATTGGAGGTTCGATTGAAGATTGGTTTGAGTCAGCTCTGATGTTGTCCGTGGTGTCGGGTTGAGAAAGAGGGAGTAGAGGCTGAGAGGAGACAGTAGTGGTCGTGTCTGTGAGGAAGGGTAACGTTGGTAGGCTGGACATGATGATCAGGAAGGATAAGAAAGATGAGATGATATGTTGTGTAGAAAGGCCTTGTAGAGTTGGAATGACGATGACATGAAACAAAGCTACACCAAAGTACGGAAGTGAGTTGTATCCAGACTACGAAATTTTATTAATACACATTTCAAAATATAACACAACCTTTGTATCCCAGGTGAACAATCTCACTCCTTTCACTTAGCTCATCTCCTTCTCAACCTCAACTTTGATCAAGAGCTACTGTCGCGAAGATGCCTAGTCGTAACACCAAGTCTTGCTACAGAAAGGAAATGAACAAAGAAATACAATTGGATCTGTCTGGACTACCTCTCTATCTCTCCCAGTGCTCTCGCCTACCTGAAGAGCTGCTGCAACTGCAGTCAGCACTAGAGTCTGGATTAGAAAAGAAGCCAAGACCAGATGCATGCCTAAATTGTGCTGAATGAAGTTTTTCTAGGATAAAATGGCCTCACTGCCTTCCTATATATTCACTTGTTTGTTCATCCAAACTTGGTTTCACTGCTTGTGGTACTTTCTTTGTGAATGTGTCTGCAGAAAACTTTTCGAAACATGTGAAAAAAATGTGAATTGACATTGCAAATTCAGGTGTAAAACGACATTGGAACATCAGCTTGACCATTTTATCTGACACCACAGCTGATAGTCACCTAAACCGGCTAGAAACCTAGTAGGATAAATCAATCAGCAATCAGCATAGGCTTATAAAGAGATACCCTACATCACTGCTTGAGTTCCAAGCAAGCCTGCCATCTGTGTTATTTCTCTTTTTTGACCGAGTCAACTTGTTGAAGTTTGATCTATGTACTTTGACTTTTCTATAAAAATGACGCCGAGATGCTTCCTACATCATATTCACTTGATGGTCACACCGGCACAGTATGTATCACGTTTAGAAAACCCTGGACATCTTGTCACTTTTCTTTCCTGTATTGCGCAAAAATGACGTCATACATGTCTTAATAGCTCAGTTGGGAGAGCGTCAGACTGAAGTCACGTGCAATCTGAAGGTCCAGTGTTCAAGCCACTGTTGGGACATCTTTTTTGGCTACTCTCAATGAAGCTGCAACGTGATTTGTTGTACTCCTTGCAACCAAATGTATTTTTTTACATATGAAGTTTGGCGCAAAAAAAAGGTCTCGAGCCAGATGATGGAAGATTCAAACCAAAATAGGAGCACTAATTAGAGATACAGCAAACCCTCACAAAGAGAGCAAATCTCATCTTTCTTTCTTTGTTAACAAGATGAAAGATTTATTCAATCATTGGTTCCAAAAAACTTTCTCTTCAATCCCTTACCCTTTGATAAAATAACCAATCTCAGTTTAAATGAATCGAAACTTTCAAGATATATGTATGTGAAAAGGATCTGTATATCTATCTCACATCAGAATTGAAGAAACTTGTTACTAGACTTTCAATTTTCCAGACTATGAAAAAAAATGTTGGGTGGTAGTTGACTGATTTGGGTATTACAGGAATTAATTTGATCCAAAGATTTGTACAATCATTCTTTTGTAACAAAGCTCCAATCTAGAGTGTGTAAAAGAGATTGAAATAAGCTTGAATATCCAAAGAGAAAAAGAACTCGACATTAATGGAATGAAGATCCCATTTTGAAGGATTTTATTAGCATTGCTTCAAATCAAAACCAATCATCTATAAGATCAATCTAACAACTTTCTCAATTCCTTCGACTTTCAATTCATGATTCAATTCCCATCAAAACGTTTCCCTAATCCTAATCTTCATCACTTCAAGTTTTCTAGCCGTTTCTCCATACGCAACATCTTCCACATGAATACTACTCAACATAGCCACATATCGATCAATCACATCCACTACTCTTGCAGCCGGGAAGTTTCCTAAATGAAGTTGACTCTCCGAATGAAGTTCTTCTAACCAAGCTTCAAGAACTCCTGCAAGCTCGTAAGCCAAGAAAGCCAATGTACCATTCACATGCCAAGGAGGAACCTAGAAAGTAAGAAGAACACCTCTGTCAAAACCTCTGGGTTGATTTCCAAAAGAAAAGATTGAAAAATCAAACCTTGGTTGTGAATAGCTCATCCATTGACTCCCAGATCGATTGCCAAGGTACTCCTGCCAATCGGAGCATCTGTCCAACCCATCTTCTTCGACCTCCTTGTTCAAATGCGTATTTTTCTACTAAACCCACCACCATCGCTTCATGAATCGTACATAGACCAACATATGAAATGTAAGTGTTTCAAAAAATGACTCCAAAGAGTAAAGCAAGGGAAACGAGATCACATACGTAGGTTAAAAGCAATATCAGAAGGATAAAACTTTCGTCCTAACTCGGTCACTTTGCTGGCCACAGCTTCTGGTCCGCGTACTTTACCAGCTGGACGACCATTATGAGCTTCGATCAATAGAAAATATAGATCATTAGATGTCGAAAGACAAGAGAAGCATGTTGCTTTCTTTCTCAATGTGAATGGATCAAATGCTCACCCCTCTCGATGATCGCTCGCCACACAGTCTCCGTCAAAACCTCATCCCGATGATCAGAGACATGAAAGATCATTAGTGTAGCATCTAACAATCCTAAAGGTTCGACAACATCCCTGTAAAGCTACAATTTTAATCAACTTCCCCTCATTCCCATCAGCTTTCCTTCCTTTGTGGGTCAATTTGAACTTAGCACAAAACAAAACCGACACAAATGAATGAGATTCACCTCACTGATAGTATATAATCGACGTTGTAATTGATCTAAGATCTGTCTCACACCTTCCTCACGTTCTTCTTCTTCTTCAGAATCAATTATATTCTGTAAGACTTCAACCTGAACTTGTCCTACTTCTAGTTTTTCTTCAATCTCTATGACAAATTCGAACCCTTCTCCATTCAAATGTGTAGACGATTTCGCATTGTTAATGGCTAATGACAAATATTCTATTCGTCTTGAGAGCGGTAAAGGTAATCTGTTCACCAGACCAAAGGTTTCATGAGTGTCAAGATACACATCGAAGCTATAAGATGCTAATTCAAAAGGAAAGACGAACCCATCATCACTCGCAAGGTTGGCTAAGATCCTTGCTGCATCCAGGAATCGGTCTTGCCTAGCATAATATTGCCACAACAGATCCGCCTTTAAAAGTGTTGTAGGAACAGCTTTCAAATAACTTTCCAAGTATTCACTCCGAGTCTTGTTCAATCAATGAGAAAATCGGTACCTTGATCAGCTCCGTATTCGGATACAACGATCCCAATCAGACTGCCAACCTACCTCGAGTAATTCGATGGTTCGATCTCTCGCCAGCAACCAGTCGTAGTAATGATAATGAAACAGTTCATCATCACTAGATAACCCAACCCGAATCGCATGATCTTTCATAATTCTAACTTCATCACCTTGATCCAACAAACGACCAAAAAGAAACATAAAGAACAGATCTTCCTGAAGAGGCTAAAGAGAGAGAAAAAACTTACCATTGAGACTTCCATCCATACCAAAACTATCAAGACTCTCCACAAGAATTGTATAACATCTTTCTAATCCTTCAAAAACGTCTTTTCCTCTTCTTCCCATCTTCCCATTTCTCCAATACTCAACTCCTTCATGTAATGGATCCCAAACCTTTGCACAACTTAAACATAATTCAACAATTCCATCTAGGAATCCGGTTTTCAAAAACTCTTCACATGCATTTTCTAGTACTTCTATGGTCATATGTTTAGCACCCTTTTTGAATAATCTGTTTTATAGGAAATCAGACACAAAACAAAAAAAGTAAATCAGTATTGGGTTATGGATATTTTCATTGTTATTCCAGCTTCAAGGATTGTTACGAGAAAGGGAAGGAAAAAAAGTATAAGTTAAATCAAGCTAACATGAGAGCGTCAGTTGCAAAGTTTCGTCGATCATCCGGATTTTGACATTCTTTGACTCGATTCAAAGCTTCAATAGCCTAGATTCCAAATCCACACAGTCCAATCAATAAGGTGCTGACCAACACGCACGCTTTTTCAAACAAGTTATAAGAAACCAAGAGAGACCAACCTTGTATAACAAGACATCATCTGAACTACAAAAGGTACCACATCTAAGTTTCAAGATCTCACTGATCCCATCCACACTTTTCCCCACCATTTGTTGATTAATCAAACTCTTCACCATCGATCTTGTACATTCTCGACCGTTTTGACCCGCAATCAACTCTCGATAATCAATCTCACCCATCATCTTTCGTGTCTCTTCCGGACATCTATGAAAACTCTCTCTCTTAAGATCAGTTAAGAGTGACTAAAGCAATAAAAGATCAAAGACGTACGAAGAAATGATATCAGTGAGTTTGTGATCAATCAATAATAAGATGAATGAGATGGCTTCAATTGATTGAGTCAAGAGTGTTCGCATGCTGTTCATTGAGTTTTGTTCGAGCTCATAAACACCTTTGATCACGTCTGTCCTTCCAGTAGTTCTCATATCTGGCAATGACGTCAACAAGACCGATTCACTAATTCAAGAACCGCAGAATTCCCACGTACATCAGTTTCCTCGACGTTTTTGGATAGTCAAAGAAAAGTAGTGAAACCGACTTGTCCATAAAGTTTCGCAAACCGTTCAATTCCCTTTGAACCTTCATCAAAGTGGCTTCATTCAAATTCGAAGCTAAGAGTCCATTGCTACCTCCAGCAGCAGCCTATCAGTTTGACCCTCAACAAAGTCAATCAGATCAAAACCAAACGTACCTAGACATCGTGACTTTCTGATTCCAGATCGGTCGAAGGATCCAAGAAAGGTAAATCGCTAATCCTTCATGTTTTACCACTGAAACAAACTTTTCTATCATCGGCTCCACTACTACTCATACCGCCTGGAGTATCTATATTCTCGTTAACATGGTCAGAAATCCATACGTCCACAACACGAAAAAGAAGAGACTGATTACAGTTTGATAGAATTTCAGGTCGACCAGAAGATTCAAAGAATAACTTTTTGGCATTCAAACCGGCTTCTGATCCCCAATGTATTGAAGATGGAGCATTAGATTGCATCGAATCTTGAACTGTCACAATGATACAGATGCACATTGCACAAGTTTGATCTCGACCGAACCTAAGAAGGATTTTCGATCAAGGAAAGATCCATCAACCTAAACGTTTGGTTTCAATTGAAAAATTGGTATCAAAACAAAATACCTTTCCCAAAAGAGAGCAAGATCATGATCTCTACCAGGCATACTGTTTAATAAACCAGCAAGCGTATCAACCGGTCTTTGATTTGAAAGTACATTGATGCCCATATTGGAGAGGATGAGCCACTCTTGGGGAGATCCTGTGAATGGATCTGAATCCATAAAAGCGGAAGAAGGAGATGATTGAGCGATGGCCCAAGCATGTCCCTCGATATGGATTGGAGATGCAATCTCTGACATTGTCGGTGGTGGTTGTGCAGCATTATTCTGAAGTCCTGGTGCGGCTGACGGGTTGGCGGTACCCATAAAGTTGTGATGATTCAATTGTTGACTTAAATCAGGAGCAGTGACGATGATCAGATCATGCTCTGAATCGACAGTATGCGAGGAAATAAAGAAGCCTTGAGGTGAAGCATAACTTGTATGAGTTAGACTTAAGGGAGAAGGGATGGGAATCATCTCCGATTCGCCTGATCCTGCCAATGAATCATCCTGTCGAGGTGGTTGATAAACTGAATTAAGTGAAAGACTCGTAAGTGGGTTATGGTTGTTTTGTTGTGAAGAATTTGACTGGCGAGGTGGAAGTCGAACATGACAAAGCCAAAGTGAGGCCGGATTCCAATCTTCATCATGCATCGAGTTAGAAGTCGAATTGTTGGTAGTACCGGTAAGACCAATATAACCATAACCATATCCCTTTCTTGCGTGTGAGAAATAAAGACGAACTCCCATGGTAGTAGTGAGCACAAGTGCTACTTTACCACCTTCTCTTTTCTTGATGGTATGTAAACCGTTGACTTCGAATGTACGTGGATCAAGTAAGGGACCAGCGGATGGACACATTCCAAGAGCTTCTCTAACAACGTTGCTAACAGAAGCAAGCTCGTTTGGAGGATCTTGGCCAGTTGAACCCAGACTATACATTTTGATGGAACCGGATTTGGTGAAGCCATAGATTAAATGTCGCTCTTGATCGATGGAAAGCAATGTAATATTACCCGTGGTGATCGGACTCAACCAACTTGGTAGCAAGTTGCTTAGAGTATTACTACCACCACCTCGACTATGATTTAAGAGATTACACCGTTTCTTGAACCAACCTTCTTCAGATCTATATTCGAATTCACACAGATCGTTTCCCTGAGTAGCACCAGTTTGTGAATCAGATGATCCTAAGAGAAAGATTCTGCCAGTAGCTTCATGAGCATGAATTGAGGTGAAGAGGATTCCATCCGTAGGGATTGACAAGCCGGTTAGGTAAAGTGAGAGCTCTGCGGGTTTAGAAGGTGCTGAGGGTTTAAGTGAAAGTCCAACGATAGTAACAACCAAAGGGGTAGCAATCACTAGAATGTGTTGAATGTCGGCTACAAAGAGACCTGAAGCAAAGAAAAAGAGTCAAAAAAATCTGATGAATAGTCATGTATAAATGATAGTTTCAAGTACCTGGTCTAGGTTTAGCTAAAGTGATTGCTGAGATGATTTGATCCAATTGTTCAAAACTTGCGAAATCGTTGCCATCCACATAGTCCCATAAGAACAATTTGTTATCCACTGTGAACCAAGCCCTCTGGATCTCCGGGAATATACCCATTAAACAACGATGATCCTGAGCTGTTTGTTGAGAATGAAATCATCAGCTAGAGTTGAAGATGATGAATGAGATGAAGTGAGAATGAACAGACCATGATATTGATCAAAGAGTATGTCAGGTAAATTGACGGTACTTCTTTTGATGAGTGGAGCCCAATTTGGAGAGATGATGTATTCAGAAGAAGAATGACCTGTGATGGTTAGATTTGATTAGTTTGATATGATTTGATTAGAATAAGATAAGATAAGATATGATTTGATGTGAATACCTTGTAGAGATGAATGTAATTGATGATTTTGATTGATGATAGATTGATGATCTAATTTCTCATCGATTGTGTTTGAACTGATTTGAAGTTGCTGGAATAAGTTTTCATCTGGTTTTGAACTTGAATTCGAATCAGTTGGTCTTAGTGCTGAAGATGAGAATGAGAATGGTTTGGATTGATTGTTAAGCTGAAATGAATTGATCATAGTTTGATGATTTGATTATGATTGGATTGATTGATTGAATGTGTTCTTCATGAAGTACTTCGATCACTTGATGGTTTTCTTGTTCTTGATTGACTATTTGATGATGTTGATGATGTTGATGATGTTTTTTTGATCGAGTGAACAATTTGACGCGACCTTGAAATTCAAATTTGACGAGTGGATCGAATCAAATCGAGTAATCTAAAACTACATTTTCAGAAACTGCATTTCGACAAACTGCCAAATCCAAACCAATCAATTGCTCTTTTGGGGTTTCAAAGATTCTTCAGATTCGATCAGATTCACTTGATCAAGTGGTACCAACACCACAATTATCAACTAGCAACAATGTTATTAACAACTTCAAGACTTCAATTATCTCAAATTAAACCAACACCTAGATTCTTCAACTCCACTCGTACTTTCTCATACTCAGCTCAGAATCTCAAGCCAACACCTTTTCTTCGTTTCCAACACACCAAATCTCAAGCAACTACGCGTTCTAGTCTAGGTCTTCGCAATATCAGCATTTTATCGGCTTCCGCCATCACTGTTTACCTTTTCAAACCAAAAATCAAATGTGAAGACGAGTTACCAATCATGGAGACTCCCTCATCTTCACCTCCAACTACCTCACCACCTGAAAGTATACTTAGTCTTCAAAAACTTTCTTTCGGTGCTGTATCTGGAATTTGTGTTGGTATCTTTGTTCGAAAAGGATTAAGGTTTCTTGCCTTTCTATGTGGAGCTGGATTTGTGTTTGTTCAAGTTAAGAGAATATGCACCTTTTTCCTAGTATTTTTTTTCTAGATCAAATCTTAGCCTGACTAGACTGATTTCTTTGACTATTGATACAGTACTTACATTCACGTTCGATAGTGGATGTTCATTGGAATCAGATTTCACATAAATACGATCGATTCATAGGACATGGTGATCGATCGATTCATAGGACATGGTGATCGATCAATTGGAAATCGGTTTTGGAATTTCTTAACTGCTGATTTTCAGGCTCGAAGTACTTTTTCACTTGGTTTTGTGCTAGGTTTAAGGATCGGCTAAAAAGAACTCTTGATTTGATCAGATCGCATTTCCATTACCTCTATTCAAATCATCGTATGAGCTAAGGATTGTTGTCATCTTCTCTGAAGCTCTTGTTGGCAAGAATCATTGTAAACAATTGTATCATATCTGTGAATCTTTATAAAAAATATGGTGGGCCATAATGGACATTTTCCAAATATATTCATGAAGTACTGAAGACGCATGTTGATGATACGTGAGGTGATCGAAGTGGTATGGTACAAAAAATCTCAAAGTCTTTGTCCACTGGTACAGAGATGAAAGTAGCCGCCTACTGTGAGATGATGCGATGAAAGTTTGAATTCACAGGAGAGTAGTTACAAGGTCAAGCTGGGGATTGATACATTTTCTTCATAATTCATCCGAATGGAGGTTAATCTTCTTTGGTAAAGGCATCTTGGGAGGGATATGTTCAGCTTTTTGTTTTCCTGGCCTTCGAGCTACTAAATCTTCTGGTGGAGGTACGCCGAGATTACTAAATGACAATTCGGAAAATCGTCAACATTGTAAGTAAAAACATCAAAGCTTGAAGATATAATATCAATCATTCATCGTATGTATGCTACTCACTTTGGGTCATGGTTTGGGCTTGTAGGATTCAGATGTTGAAGTTTTTGCCATACGTGCCAAGTGAGATGATCAGGTGTGAGAGAAGGTCTAAAAGGTTGAGTCAAATAAGCTCGTAAAAGCTTTGGCGAGAAGAGGAAAACCTGAAGAAGTGTCAATCAAAAACAATCAATCAGTAGAGAATCAAGACCAGTCAATAATATATATCATAAGAAAGAGGTCTGTCTATACTCACTGAACCAAGACCGATAAGAAGACCTAGAACAATCAGTCTGATATTAAGGAAACCAAATCTTGAGCTCGTCATTCCTTTCAGTTTACGATGATCTTTATGACTTTTATACTCAATGGGAAGGTGTTAATCAAACTTTCAGCGTAGTTGAATCTGGTTCCAGACGGTATATTGGCGTGAATCGTGATGGAGGCATGATCAAGAAGAAGTGACCATTGGAATGAATGCCCGATTGCCATGTCACAGTCTGGTGGAAAATGGCGTGACAGATTTCTGAACAGCTCGAGTGACATGCTTTCTGACAAGAATCTATAAACCAACCTGGATCAGAAAACCGTCCTCGTGTAGCGAAGCTCTTCGAACTGGCTCTTGAACTTGAATCCTTTTTCGATTATAATCTTCGCATTGTCTGATGACTTCCAGGATTAGGCTTCCGATCAATCATTTGAAGCTTTATCGTGACTGATGAATACATCCGAAGCTGTATGAGCCCTGACGTCAGCACTTCAGGATTGTGCCCGAGATCGCATCCAAGAGAAGCTATATCCTGAGGATAGCGGTGGACGAGAGTGTTTGAATCGGTTCTGCGGATATATACATAGTCAGATCTATCGCATTCACATTTACGACAACGGCTCTAAATCACCCAACTTTTCAGCTGTGCCCCCAGATGAGCACGCAACCCCGCCATTGAAAAATGTTCCGAATAGGGCTTTATGTTTCACGGTGTTATTGTCTTGGCCAAGTAGACCGCGAAACTTATCGCTCTGAGCTTGCAAGGACACAGCTGGCTAGTCGAGTTGCCGCTTGTCGATTATTCAGTCATCTTTGCCACATTAATGTCGGGAGAATTGTGCGCTCTTGGAGATCTAGCGCCATTGATTGTCGCCCAGAAAGCTATATCATGAGAAGCACGAGATAACTTTGCTTGCCTGGGTTAATGATGATTGCCTGCCTTGCCCTACTACTGCCATAGATCACCCGGCAGGCTGTGTCAGGCGGTGGATCCGTGGCTGAAAATAAGTAGCATGCGCTATAGTCAGCAAGACCATCACGGCAGATGGCGGAAAGTCAAGACTGAGATAAATCAGCGTAGAGAAATGAGTGTTGTTTTAAAGAATTCATCAAAAGTCTTTTCGCCCTCGACAGAGCGTTCAGTAGAGTCGTGTAAAGACTGATATCGTGGTGAAGGACCGACAATCTTGGACACACAACCAAATAGAATCTTGACCGCTCTTAATTTATAGGTATTAAGATCTGGTACATTCACGAATATGTTGATTAGTATCAATCATTCAACTTGTCATCTTTCACAGATGGTCTGGTAAACATACCTCCAGAATTACCAGTGAGTACAGACCCGTCATCGACGAACATTCGGAATGGCGCTTGGTTTTGATCACCTGGGTTGTTGATATATACGCACAGAGAATATCATGATTGGAGATGACACCGAGTGTTGGGTGAGTCTACAAAGCTCGAAGGTTTTGAGGTTTGCGATTGAGGTGCTATATGATATATGCGATATGCTACTTCTGCGCCTGAACTTTGCCTGCTTTAGCATGTGCAAGATAGTACATGTTGGCACCTCCTTGTCTTTCCTGGCCTTGATAATCAATCAATATTCTTCAGTAAACCTAGTTATTTCTTTATCGCGTAGGCGATTGGTCCTCAGAGCAACATCATTCCAAGAAATGAAATAAATGCTTTGTTTTGGCCTTGTTGCACAAAACAAAACATATGTGAAGCAGAAAACACGTGATCCTAGCTCAGATTCTGTGAGCCGTTCTCGACAGTGGAAAGGGCTTGAGTTTCAAAGCCTTCATTTTTAATGACACGAACATTTGTCGAAATGCTTTCTGTATCTCGATTAAAGCATGTACAAAAGGTTTCGCATTTTTAAAAAAGAAATGAAATGACTTCTCGCCTCCAGATAATAATGCCAATAATGCTAATAATGCAGATGCGGATAGGAGAAGCTGATCCCTACTGCGCTTTTGATTGCTGATTGCTGAGGGCTACAAGGTATAAATTCCGTGCTCCTCAATTGTAGTTTGCTCCATCCAACCACAAACAATCACACTCACGACTCACAACACACAACACACACGACTTTTATAACTTACAATTTCTCAAAACTTTCAAATCAACTAGTCAACCAACATGTCTCAAGATAATTCAAATATACCTTCTAATCATTCAAGACTTACTCATCTTACTCGTGATCGCTCTGCCTCTCTACCGCAATCCGACACGAATCCTTTAAGCCAAAATGCTCTCGACTCGAACGTTCTCTACTCTTACGCGAGAAAAGGCTCACTTCCATACAACAATCTTCCACGTTACCCACCGAATCAACAAGCTTCAGACGAGAAACAAACCAAGTTACCCTCTCTTCCGCTTCCCCGCAAGGCTTCGTTGGCTACTTCCTCAGTCTTTGGTGACGATTACGTTCCATTAAGGTATGTTCTAGTGCTCTCGATCTTTCTTGTATTCTTCATTTCCCTTGACGTCGACGACTCTGTCTCACACCTATGCTCCTTGTTCTTCTTGTTTTTCCCCTTATAGTTCCCCTGGTTCGTCTCGAAACAACGACGCTGCCACTGGATCTTCTGACGGTCGTCCTCCTCTCTCGTCCCCTGCCCGCTCTTCTGGTACTTCATCATACTCTCGCCGAAAATTCCCCACCATCGGACAACTCTCAAACCTCCCTTCACATGCGCCTCTCAAGATTGTCAAACGTCGCGCCGGTCAAAGCCCATCAGATCACCCTTCTCAATCACCAACATCCCCTTCTTCTGGACAAGCTCAAGAATTACTCGTAGACTATCCATCCGTACCCCCCCCTCCTCAAATTCTCTCAGCGCCTTTAGGAAGATTTAGAAATAACTCAGTTGGAGAATTTGGTCAAGCTAGTGCAGTTTCTGTTGATGGAGCTTTTCAAAATAACGAGACCACTGGATATGTTTATAGACCTTCAGCTGTTGTTCTTACTGATGAATACTATTACTCTCAAAATCCTATTAAAGAACCTTTACAAAGATCTTCTAGTGTATCACGTGTTGGCAAATTGTCTGGTAGTTTCCTCAAAAGATTTATAGGTGGCGAAAACAAAGAATCATAATTCAATTATATCAATTCAATTTTATTATTAGTTCTTTTTGAAATCATCTGGGTATTTTTACAATTTTTTTCTTAGTCAATCTTTCTATATTTTGTTTGAATGGTTACGTAGTTAGTCAATCATTGATCATTTTTCGATTCGGATAGAATTTGGTCTTGCGAAACAATAGAATTTGGTATTTTTGTTGGGTTTCAAATTGTCTGGTAGTTTCTTCAAAAGATTTAAAGGTGGCCAAAACAAAGAATCATAATTAAATCAAATCAAATCAATTTTATATTATTTCTTTTTACAATCATCTGTGTCTTACTTCTTTTACGATCATCTGGGTATTTTTACCAATTTTTTCTCAGTCGATCTTCTTATATATTGTTTGAATGGTTACGTTGTTAGTCAATCATTGATCATTTTTTCGATTTGGATACGAAGTTGGCTTTGTGAATCAATAGAATTTGGTAGTTTTGCTGGGTTTTGTTATTGAACTTTGGCACAATTATAATACTACGACCATTTGAGTTTCCAAAAATGAAATTTGTTTGTGAGCCAGCGTAGGGAATGTAAGCTTGAATTGAGTCAATTGAGAGATAGTCCCACTTTCGACATTATAGTCAGAGAAAGGAAACCATGATATACACATTTTATCCCCTTATCCATGAATCTATAAGTATACAATTTTCGGTTCGATCAATGCCTCTGACCAGATGGCTAGTCTTTGAAATATGAGGTCTCTGACATGAGTTTTCTTCCCTTGGACTGAGGTCGTCCTTGCCATCAATCATGGACAGCCAACCAACCCTTCTTGTGGTGGCACTCGAGAGCATAGGAGAATCGAGGCTTCAAAAAACATGCATGGATGTATCTATCTTTGGTTTCAAATGTAAAATCAATTATTGCAAGGGTAAAATTTGACTTCAACTATGAATATAAGGCTAAATCTGCGAATTAAATACCAGCAAATATCAGGATTGTAGCAGTTCCGGTACACAATGCACATAAGGGGAGTTCATGTATCAGAGTTCAGAGACTTCTGTTATTATGTAGGTCATCCAGAGCACACTGGAACCACATTGTCTGTAAAAGAAACACTGAATGCGAGGAAAATGATTGCACCTTCTCGCATAGTTGAAGTTGAACCCTGTCCAGAAATTTGTTTCCCATCAGTTTGACTAGATTTCGAGACTTCAATGATCAAGTCAAAGCTCAGCAACAGCAAATCTCTGCAGGATGATTTTTCTGAAAACGTAGACTGATTTATTTGATCATCCTGAATCCGAAAGCTGTAAATGACGTCTACATTTCATCCTACCAGACCATCGTTTTCGAAACTTGCTAGAAAGAAAGCCAAGAGAGAATATCTTGATCAGTAATTGACACAAGGATGCATTGAAAGATAAATTCAAGCTCGCTACTTTTACACAAGGAAGACTCATCAAGTCATGCGAATTCCAAAAAGAAGTGGGTTGAGGAGACTTGAGCCTTACTTGAAACAAGCAGGCTTCAATCCCAGCCAAATGGTCAATCACAGTTTCTACCCAGGTGACTTGATTCTATAATTGAAAGCAAATAGTAATATGTCATCCTACACGTTAATTGTAGCAAACCATCAAGGATTATCGTTTGTCGAGCTCTGGTTAGCTTCAGAGGAGGATCCATCGATCATTGCTATAGTCACTTCGAGCTCCTTTCACTTTAAGTTCTTCACATCAGAGTAGCCTTTGGGATTATCCACTACATGTTTGGGAAGACAGAATCCTGTCACATTTTATTTACGAATGATAGACATCATTTTCCTTTCTGTTGATAATGTGATGTTCTCCTGGTATCCATCAATGCGATAAGCTTTGTGTTGCTTCTGCATCCTACTCCTTCAAAACGCTTTATCATGATATCCCATTTTACGTACAAATTGGATATGATTGTTTACCGCTGTCTTGTTACAGTTTTCTCAAAGCAAACAAACCTCATGAAGGGTGATGATGATCTGATTGAGTTGTGCCCCAAAGCCTCTCTTTGATGGACCCTAAAAGCGATATTACAGGGTTTTAAGTCTCGTTTTGATATCTTAAGATGCCTTTTTTACAATTTGGCAGTGATGATGATTTCCTTAAGCTGTGATCTGCCTATGAATCATGAGTAACATACTCATAACCTTTCACAAGTTTTGACTTTGTA